CAATATTTCTGTTGGTTCTTTTTATATCTACCTACCTCTGTTGAATTTCTCATTCAGATCATAAATTGTTTTCCTGATTTTATCAAATCATCTATTAGTTTTCTCTTCTATCTCACTGAATTTCTTTAAGGTCAGTATGATGAATTTCTTTTCAGGCATAAATTTTAATTAAATCAAAATTTAGTAGTACAACTAGTTTCATTTTCAACTCACAAATTTTATTTCATTTTATTTTATTTTTAGATAGAGTCTTGCTGTGTCACCCAGGCTGGGGTGCAGTTGCACAATCTTGGCTCACTGCAGCCTCTGCCTCCTGGGTTCAAGCGATTCTCATGCCTTAGCCTCCCAAGCAGCTGGGATTACAAGCATGCACCACCACAGCCAGCTAATTTTTTGTATTTTTAGTAGAAACAGAATTTTACTTTGTTGGCCAGGCTGGTTTCCAATTCCTGGCCTCAAGCAATCTGTCCGCTGCAGACTTCCAAAATGCTGGGATTACAGGTGTGAGAGCCACTGTGCCAGGCCTCAACTCACTTTAATAACGTCACTTTTTTCTTTTTTTTTTTTTGAGACGGAGTTTCGCTCTTGTTACCCAGGCTGGAGTGCAATGGCGTGATCTCGGCTCACCGCAACCTCCGCCTCCTGGGTTCAGGCAATTCTCCTGCCTCAGCCTCCCGAGTACCTGGGATTACAGGCATGCGCCACCATGCCCAGCTAATTTTTTGTATTTTTAGTAGAGACGGGGTTTCACCATGTTGACCAGGATGGTCTTGATCTCTCGACCTTGTGATCCACCCGCCTCAGCCTCCCAAAGTGCTGGGATTGCAGGCTTGAGCCACCGCGCCCGGCAATAACATCACTTTTATCATAAGTTTTAGCTTGCCTTTGTATTTGCTGATACCTGTTATTTTGAGTTATTTTGTTAATTTGCCTTCTCGCATTAAGTAAAATGTATGACTAAAAGATTTAGAAAGGAGCCTTTTCCTTTTCAGCTCATTATCCTCACTTATTTTGGTATGTAAAGATCCACAACTCATATCCATTTTTTAAAAACTTATTAGTTTTTTTTAAACTAGCATTAAACTAACATTAAATTTTTAACTAGCTTTAAAATTGTTAGCGAATTTGCCTGTCATCACTAGAAAACTTAAAATACTAATACAAATTCCTTTTAAGTTAAGCCATTATACTTTAGTTTACAGATGAGTTGTATGCAAATGTCAGCTAAAGAAACCCTAAGTCAGTGAGCAATTATAACATTTACAACTGTATAGCTTTTTGAAGGAGAAATACAGAACATTTTACAGACATTTTTAGGCCTCAGATGGATATATGATTTTGGCAGTTTACCAGGAGATTCTAATTTGCCCAGAGAATGGGAACTGAGTCTTGTTGAATGCATAGTTGCTTTGTGGCCCCAGACTGTTCCTCAGGTATGGGGAGAGATGATTTTTGGGAGGGGGGGTCAGTGTATAAGGGGAGAGATGATTCTTCTTAGCCTTATTCATGAATACGTTCTGTGAATATTTTTGTCTTCTAACTGAGCACTATAATGAACTAATGCTGTTACCTTGGTATTTTTAAACTCTTTTTTTTGTTGTTGTTGTTTTTTTTTGAGATGGAGTTTCGCTCTTGTTACCCAGGCTGGAGTGCAATGGCGCCATCTCGGCTCACCGCAACCTCTGCCTCCTGGGTTCAGGCAATTCTCCTGCCTCAGCCTCCCGAGTAGCTGGGATTACAGGCACGTGCCACCATGCCCAGCTAATTTTTTGTATTTTTAGTAGAGACGGGGTTTCACCATGTTGACCAGGATGGTCTCGATCTCTTGACCTCGTGATCCACCCGCCTCGGCCTCCCAAAGTGCTGGGATTACAAGCTTGAGCCACCGTGCCCGGCCTGTATTTTTAAACTCTTAACAGTAAATGGAGACAGCATGATATTTAACATATATATTTTAACATGAGAATGTCATAAAATTCCATAGTTTGGAGTCAGTTACTCAAGTATTATATTCCTTTTGTGGTATTATGTTTCATTGCTTCTTCGTGTTTCTTGTGTCCCTGTTGATGTCTGCAGATCTGGTGGTGCAGTCACTTCTAAACATTACAGAGTGGCTTTTGTACAGGGGATTTTCACCTACACATGGGCCTGAGGTTGGGCAGGGTGCAGTAATTTTGGTTCCATGAGGGTGCAATGCTGTAGTTTCCACACAGCTTCTACAGTTGTGCTCAATGTCAATGATGACTGTGGGTGCCTCAGTGGTCTAGGCTACAGGAGTTTGTGGCAGTGATGGTGGCTATGTAGATTATTAGGGCAAGTGTTTTAGGGGTCCTTCTGTTCTTGTCTTCTCCACAGTGGGGAATCTTAGCTAAGGGGATATCTCTTGGTGTTGAGTCTGACATGACCCACAGGCAGCCACAGGATCACTAGGATGGAGGGCAGAGGTGCTTTGAGCAGCTGTGAAGACAGGTTCCTGGGCTCAAGGTTTTGTCAAACTACTGTAGCATGTGAATCTTGAGGCAAGCACTTACTTTTCACTGCCTGAGTAGATGCAGTTTCTCTGTTAACCTGGGTCTGTTGCTCTGAGGCACATCCCAGAAACTTGGCTAGGATGTAGCTGTGGTTCTGTCCTGAGGAGGAGGGCACAGCACTGGCATGGCTCTGGGAAATAAGGGGTACTCTGGAGGCTCAGGCCCTGGAAAGAAGGGCACACCTGCTATTCTAAATTCAGAAGAATTATGGTAAAATATCCTTTTAAATATTATTCTACATCTTGCTTTTTTTTTTTTTTTTTTTTTTTGAGACGGAGTTTCGCTCTTGTTACCCAGGCTGGAGTGCAATGGCGCGATCTCGGCTCACCGCAACCTCCACCTCCTGGGTTCAGGCAATTCTCCTGCCTCAGCCTCCTGAGTAGCTGGGATTACAGGCACGCGCCACCATGCCCAGCTAATTTTTTTAGATTTTTAGTAGAGACGGGGTTTCACCGTGTTGACCAGGATGGTCTCGATCTCTCGACCTCGTGATCCACCCGCCTCGGCCTCCCAAAGTGCTGGGATTACAGGCTTGAGCCACCGCGCCCGGCCTTACATCTTGCTTTTTTTAACTCAACTTATGATTTAGAATTTTGGCCATATTGATCTCTTGACCTCATGATCCACCCGCCTCAGCCTCCCAAAGTGCTGGCATTATAGGTGTGAGCCACCATGCCTGGCTGGAATTTTGGCCCTATTGATACCTACAGATTTAGTTTATTCACTTTACTGCCATTGGGTATTATTAGATGACTCAATTACTTTTTATTTATTCATTACTCTACAGATAGAAATTTCTATTATTTCCAGGCTTTCCAGATGATAAACAGCATTTTAGTGAGCAGATTTGTCGAGATGTTCTTATGTACAATCTCGTGCATCCCTAGATCAGTGGTCTCTGTATTTCTGAGGATAGCTTAAAACTTTTAAAGAAATGAATAGGCCTAAATAGTTTTGTTTGTTTGCTTTTAAGAATGAATTTCTAGATCCTGAACCTCCTCATTTCTTTTAACTGTATCCCTGAGTATAGTATTATGCTTGCGATACTATGTTGGTTATGCTTTTCCATCTGCTTTCACAATTGCCTTTCTCCCACTTGACTACAGAAAGGCATAGTTGTTCTCATCCATACCAAACTTCATTTGATATTTCATACATAAAAGTTAACAAATATGCTTTTTTATGTTGTTTTTATTTTTTCCATTTAACCTGTTAACCCACCTAAAATTTATTTTTGTATTTAACTGGAGGTGACAATATAAATATTGATCCAATAATGTTGGTGTAAAAGTCTAAGTAATTTAAATGGATAATCTATACTTTTTGGTCATATGAAAGTCTCTTTGATCATGTGAGAAGTATAAAATTAGAGCAAATGATATGGTTTGAATCTGTGCCCCCACCCAAATTTTATGTCAAACTGTAATCCCCATTGCTGGAGGTAGGGCTTGGCAGGAGGTGATTGGATCATGGGGGGGATCTCTCATAAATGGCTTAGCACCAGCCTTTTGATGCTGTCCTCAAAATAGTGAGTTTTCATGAAATCTGGTTGTTTGGCTGTGTGTAGCACCTCCCCTTTTTGCTCTCTGTCTTGCCCCTGCTCCTACCATTAAGGGGCTTCACTCCTACTTTGCTTTTCACCACGACTGTAAGTTTCCTGAGGCCTCCTCAGAAACTAAGCAGATACAAGCAAGCATCATGCTTCCTGTACAACCTACAGAACCATGAGCCAATTAAACCTCTTTTCCTTATAAATTCCCAGTCTCAGGTATTTCTTTATAGCAAAAGGGACCAGTACAGAAAGTATCACACTACTATCTTCCCAGAATTCCCTGTAGCTGTAGTGGATATGTGACATAGTTCTGGCCAATGAGATGTAAGTACAAGTCTGCTAAGAATTGATAGGAATATTTTTGTTCTCTTGAGGTAGACACAATCTCTTCTTCCTTCCTTTTCCTTCTTCTCCCTGGATTTGAGATGCCAGAGGTGAAGCAGCCATCTTTCTAGCTCTCTCAGTAAATCCCTGTTTCTCAGGGAAAGCTGACTCCTTGGTAGTTTAAGGACAATTCCATCTCCATTGCCAACGGATGGTTTAGTTATGGATATGAGCCAACTCTATACACTTTGAGAAGTTTAGTGTCAGCTTCTGAGAGAGTTATTCTCAGCTCTTAAAAGAGACACATGGAGGCCAGGTATGGTGGCACACACCTGTAGTCTCAGCTACCCAGGAAGCTGAGGTAGGATGATCCACTTGAGCCCAGGAGGATGAGACTGCAGTGATCTATGACTGCACTCCAGCCTGGGTGACAGAGTGAAACTCTGTCTCTAAAAAATACATATAAATAATGATACAAATAAAATAAAGAGATAACGAAAAGCCAGTCTTCCTCCCCCTTGTCTTGGATGTTTTCCTTATGCAACATGCAAGTTTTACAGTTTAGCGTGTTCAAGTTTATCTATTGTCTTTCCTTTTTTTTTTTTTTTTTTTTTTTTTGGAGGGACTGGTTCTTTATTTCAAAAAGACACTTGTCAATATTCAGTATCAAAACAGTTACACTATTGATTTCTCTTTCTCCCAATCGGCCCAAAGAGACCACATAAAAGGAGAGTACATTTTAAGCCAATAAGCTGCAGGATGTATACCTAGCAGACCTCCTAGAAACCTTACCAGAAAATGGGGACCGGGTAGGGAAACTTTAAAAGATCAGCAAACTGCCAGCCCACGGACTGCAGAGGCTATCACAGCCAGATGGGGTGGCCAGGGTGCCACAAATCCAAAGAAGCAGTTTCAAAATTATACAAAATTTTAAAAGTTTTGTACATAAGCTATTCAAGATTTCTCCAGCACTGACTGATACAAAGCACAATGAGATGGCACTTTTAGAGACAGCAGCTTCAAACCCAGAGAAGGGTAATGAGATGAGTTTCATATGGCTAAATCAGTGGCCAAACATAATCTTCTTTCTTTCTTTCAAGGAGGCAGGAAAGCAATTAAGTGGTCATCTCAACATAAAGGGGCACATGATCCATTCTGTGAGCAGTTGGGAGGGAGTAGAGATGGGACAAAAATTTGGTCTCAGAGATCTTACCATCTTAATTTGGTCACTTGTAATGAAAAAAATAGAAATAATGTTGTCCAAAGAGATCTTAAAAGCTGAAAACGTGAACAGCACACTTTTTTTTTTGTTGTTGTTGTTTGGCTAACTCCTCCTGGAATCACCTTTCTGGTTTAGCTGGTACTTTGTACAGAGCAATGAGGTTTCCCACAGTGGAGTCTTTCCCTGGGCTCTGTTTGGCTCTTAGTAAGGCAGGACTATACCTTTTCCTCTTCTCTATGGAGAGGGCAATATGCATTAAGCTGAAAAGTCACCTTCCAAAAGTGAGAAAGGGATTAGCTTGCTGCTTCAGGGCGTGGAATTATTTGGAATGTTTTACAAATGGTTGCTACAAAACAACAAAAAAGGTAATTACAAAATGTGTTTATCACGACATGCTTTTAAAGACATTATGCATTGTGCTCACATTCCCTTAAATGTTGTTTCCAAAGGTGCTCAGCCTCTAGCCCAGCTGGAATCTCCAGGAAGAGGCAGAGACAGTTTGGCGAATAAGACACAGGGGAGGAGGGGGCAGCGAAAGGAGAAAGCAGCCTTCCAGTTAAAGATCAGCCCTCAGTTAAAAGTCAGCTTCGGGCAGGCTGGCCTCAGGCGGAGTCAGGGTCAGAGGGAGAAGCAGCAGCAGGGTGGGACTGGGGCGTTCTACATCTCATTCAGGTCAAGCAGAGTCTGGTCCAGCATCCTTTGTGTACAGAGGTGCTCCTCTTTGGTGCATTTCAGTTTATCTTCCAAGTCATCAATTGTCTTTTCCAGCTTGGCTACCGATCTCTCAGCAAACTCAGCACGGGTCTCTGCCTCCTTGAGTTTATCAGTAAGAATCTTGATCTCTTCCTCATATTTGTCTTCTTTTTGAGAGTACTTTTCTTCAGCAGCACTCAGACACTTCAGGTTCTGGTCCATCAGTCTGATCTGCTCATCCATCTCTCGGCAACGGGACTCTGCCAGCTCAGCTCGTTCCTCTGTGCGTTCCAAGTCTCCTTCAATGATCACCAACTTACGAGCCACCTCTTCATATTTCCTATCTGCCTCTTCTGCAATGTGCTTAGCTTCTTTGAGTTGGATTTCCTGGAGTTCCATCTTCTCTTCATCTTTTAAGGCCCGGTTTTCAATAACCTTCATACCTCTCTCGCTCTCATCAGCAGCTTTTTCAGCTTCTTCCAGCTTTTGCAGGGCAGTGGCCAGGCGCTCCTGAGCACGGTCCAGCTCCTCTTCAACCAGCTGGATCCTACGGTTCAAGGAGGCCACCTCAGCCTCGGCCTGTTCCCGGGCCCGCCTTTCTCCCTCAACTTCTCGCTGGAGGCGCTCAGCTCGCTCCTCTGCATCATCTGCCTGCTGCTGCAGAACCTGGATCTTGCGCTTCACCGCCTCGATGGTGGTGATCCCAGCCATGGTGCCCACCCAGCTACTGCTCGCGCTCCGGCTCCTGCCTCCTCCGCGCGGCCTGTCTTTCCTTAATGTTAAAAATACCATTTTGTTCATTAAGAAATCCTTTCCTACCCTGAGGTCAAAATATTCTTCAATTTAGCCTCCTAGTAGTTTTAAAGTTCTGTTTCACATTTTTAGATCCTTAATACATCTGAGATATATTTTGGCATATGGTATCAACTAGGGATTTGATTTTTTCTTCCATGTAAAGAGCTGATTGTCCAACATTCTTTGTTCAACACTATATTGAACTGGACAACATAGTGAGACCCTGTCTAAAAAAGATTTTTTTAAAATTAGTTAGGCATGGTAATGAGTGTCTGTAGTCCCAACTACTTGGGAAGTCAAGGTGGGAGGATTGTTTGAGTTCAGTTTGAGGCTGCAGTGCTGCAGTGAGCCATAATTGTGCCACAGCACTCCAGCCAGGGTGACAGTGAAACTGTCTCAAAATAGTAACTGTAATAATTAATAATAATAGTTAATATTTAATAGTCTTTTATTGAATCATGGTCTCCCTCTGTCACTCAGGCTAGAGTACAGTAGCATGATCATGGCTTACTGCTACCTCGAGTTCCTGGGCTTAAGAAATCCTCCCGCCTCAGCCTCCTGAGTAGCTGATATTATAGGCACATGTCACCAACATCTGGCTAATAAAAAATTTTTTTTTTTTTGTAGAGATGAGGTCTCCCTATATTGCCCAGGTCAGTCTCAAACTCGTGGGCTCAAGCGATCCTCCCACATCAGCCTCCCAATGTGCTGGGATGACAGGCATGAACTACCATGTCTGGCTAATACTTAGTATTTTCTAAGGGTATCATGTATGAACTCATTTGATCCTTATGACAATTCTATAAGAACAGGTTCAGAATCTGTTATTTACAATTCTGAAATTGAAAAAGGTCTGAAAAACACACTTTTTAAAACTCACCTATAATCCCAGCTATTCATGAGGCTGAGATGGGAAGACTGCTTGAGCCCAGGAGTTCAACACCAGCCTGGGCAACATAGCAAGATGCCATCTCAAAAAATATATATTTGGCAGCAAATCCTTGCCTGAACTGGTATATGCCTATCTATAGTCTTTTACTTATTCCTCTTAGTATGGTTAGTCATACATTTTGCTGCAGCTCTATAAATATATTTGATTATAGAGTACTGCCCTAGAAGCTGTTGGGGTGTTGCATAATACAAGGTGTATTCATTGGATTACTTTTCAAAACCTAAAGAATTCTTAACTCAGAAAACCAGCTGGCAGGGGTGACGAATTGGTACAGACAAGGATAGTGAACCGGTAATATTATTATCCTCATTTCACAGCTGAAGAAATTGAGACTAGAAGTCATCATTTACTCAAGGTTACATTGTTAACAAAAACAATAAGCAATGTAGTTAATAATATTTTTGAGGGCTTCTTGTGGAAGTCACTTAGTTAAATGTTTTATGTGTATTAATTTAATCATCACCACAACCCTAGGAGTACTATTATTATCCTCATTTCCCAGATGAAGCTTAGAGAGACTCAAAAATTCCCCTGGAGATGCAGCAATTAAGTGTGATAAGAAGGGATTTAAAAACAAGTCAGTCCAATATCAATATATTTTATTATTACACTATGCTTTACAAATCTACACCATCACCCTTTAGACTATATATCCAATTATCTGATATAAACAAGATTTAAAAAATATAACTCAAGATCATTTTACTCACTTGCTTAAAACTCTGTGACTTTCTACTACATATAAAGTCCAAATCCCTTAAGGTGACCCCTTTCTACCTCTCCCATCTCATTTCTCAAGAGTAGACTTCCCTTAGGCCTTTGCACTAGGTATGCCCTCTTCCTGGAAGGCTCCCAGATCATCACACATTTAGCTACTTCTTGTCACTTAGGGCTCAGATTAAGCTAATCCTGTTTTTCCCTGATTTATCCAGTAAGAGTAGGTCTTTAATCACACCATCAATCCCATCATTCTCTTTACCTAACACATAAATATATCTTCAATGTTTATCTGTTTATTTTCTTTTTCCTTTCATTTGAATGTGAATTCAACCAGAATGGGCACCTTGTCTGTTCTGGTTTCTTCAGAAGTTCCAATCTCTCATATAGCAGGTGCTTAATTTTGGCTAAATAAATGAAGGTTGTACACAATCAGTAAGAAGTATCTGCTAGTTATTGAATGGTGGGAGATAAACTGAGGAGGCAGGTAGGTGACTACAGTGAAAATGTAAAGATACCTAGAATGTCAACTTGATTTGATTTTAATAGTATAAACACCACCAAGCAGAGTTTCTGATACAGAGAGATAGCAAACATTTGTTGAATGACTGGACAACAAATATTATTACTAGCTTGGATTTTGAGGCAAATTACTTAACCTTTCTGAGCTCAGTTTCTTTGTCTGTGATGATTAAAACTAACTTTACAGGGTTTCCCTACAAATTATATGTGATAATACATGTCATGTGCCCAGCACACAGCAGGTACCTGTTAGTTTCTTTCTCTTTACATACATAAATACTACTTTAAGGTCTACAAAGTTATTGTAAGCTCTTCTAGATTCATGATCTCATTTTATTCCCACAATCTTCTGCAATACTGCTCATTAGCCTCATTTTACAGATGAAAAACAGACTCAAGGATTGAGACACAGCCTCTGCAGGTAATGAGAAGCCAATGGGCATGCTTTATAAGCATAGGAGCAACATGATAAAAGCAGTGAGTTGTGTTTTTGTTTTGTTTTGTTTTAAGATTAATCTGTTGGTGGCCTATAAAAAGGACTGAATTGAAAATTGGAGAAATATTATTTTGACTACTAGCATAAAAATCAAGTTTAAGGGCCCGGCGCAGTGGCTCACACTGTAATCCTAGCACTTTGGGAGGCAGAGGCGAGCAGATCATTTGAGGCCAGAAGCTGGAGACCAGCCTAGCCAACATGGCGAAACCCCATCTCTACTAAAAAATACAAGAAATTGGCAAGGTGTGGTGGCACGCGCCTGTAATCCCAGCTACTTGGGAGGTTGAGGCACATTTAGAATTGCTTGAACTCGGGAAGCGGAGATTGCAGTGAGCCGAGATCGTGCCGCTGCACTCAAGCCTGGGCAGCAGAGCAACACTCTATTTCAAAGAAAAAGAAACAAGTTTAAGATGATAAGGGCCTGTACTAGGTAGCAGAAGTGTTTAAAAGCCTAATGAACTTAAAACTATTGAAAAGCCAGATAAGCCCCCCAAAAAGAACAAAAATTTAAAAACGTGAGTTTTCAAATCTGGCTGAGAAAATAATAGTATGAACAACATAAACAATTGAGAAATCCAACTTGGGAAAATCGTTGGTCAGAAGACCTTCTCTCCAGTACCTATACAGAACTTCTGGCAAATAATGGCAAACATCTAAGCCATTTCTTCAGCGTCACAGCAGATTCTTCTTTCGTTCACTCCACCCACTGGCTTCACCACCTGAGCAAGAGTATCTTAATTAAGGGCCTTCTGATCTCGCTTCCCTAGAAGCAGTTTGGTAGGAAGCAGACTGGTTGGGATGGAATTAGAAATCAAGGTTTTAAAGTTCCAGGACTTTGGCTAAATCGGCTTTTTCCTTCTCTGTCAAATAAAGGGACCCTTATTTCACCTACTTCCCTAGTTTTAAGACTGGAGATCCTCTCCATATCAGTACAAAGCGCTTTTACTTAGGCGCGTGTCACCAAACTGAAAACGCTCACGCAGAGCGGAGCCCCTGGCGGTGAGCTTACGTCACGTCCGGCGCGCTGACGCTCACTTCTGCGTGCCGACGCCTGCGTCAGCAAAGAGCGGAGCTAGGGGTACCCGGTTTGAAGTCGTGCGGGTCGGAGGACTGCCGCCTCCGCTACGGTCTTGGACCCCTGCTCCCTGGCTGCTGCGGGGAAGAGCTCGGGTAGGCGGCAGGGCAGATGCCCGAGGGCCTGAGCTGGAACTCCCCGCGCCGCAGCGGCCGCTCCCTTGTGCTCTGCGGCCTGGACCTTCACCGCTCCGCTCACTGGAAACTAGCGCCTCAGCTGCGCGGCGCGTAGGTCGCAGGGAGCTCTGAACCGCCGGCGCCCGGCCATGGCGGTTTCCAGGTGGGTCTTACTCCTGACGAGCGAACGGGAAGGCCGCTCAGGCAAGGCACGGTCTCCTCTCAGCGCCCTCACTGGTAGAGAGGAGCGGTTCTTATTGTCACTGGGCTCGGGCGCTTTCTTCAGTAGACTTCGGAGTTCGCCCCGTGGTTGGCGGGGGTTTGGGCTCGGGTTACCCCTGGGTAAATCGGCTCAAGAATGCCCCTTTTCTTGTTAAATAGACCCCTTGGCACGTTAGAGCTGGTTTTTCTCTCCTCACCATGTTTCAGTTCTCTGGTTTCTCTTCCCTCTTTCGGTTCTAGGAGAGTAAGTCTCTTATCTTTCTCTGTATTCTAAGGCTGGTCCCTAACCTCCATTTCATGGGAAAACTTGGTAGTTACTGTCGATTGAGGGGAAACCTGAATTACTGTTATCTAAGAGACCGTCTAATTATGTTAACAATTTTAATTTACTTTTTAGGGGCATGTTCTTTCCTGAGGTATTTTTAAAAATTAAGTATAATTTCTCTTTTTGTTTGGCAGTAAATATTCCAACGTCAGCGTTGTAACCTTAAGCAAATTACCGTATTAGCATCATCTTCCTTAGCTAAGGGATGAAAGATAAATCACAAATCTTGTATTCTTCGGAAATACTGCCTGTCAACAGGAAAGCCCAGGAAAACTATAGAAACTAATAAGATATTTATTTGTATAGCTATAGGAGAAACATTCTTTCTTCCAGTATGATAGAATGGTTGGAAAACTTTTGTAAGTGGATTTTGGTGGCCCTGTGTACATGTAATTAAGGGATAGTTCGTCAGTGATAGTGATGGGGTGGATTCACCAAGTTCTTTAGAGTTGATATGGTAACTTTTAATGAGAATTGAGTTCTTCTGTCACATAGACTGAAGGAATAAATGATGAAAACAAATACTTTTCATTCAATTTTT